TCCCCAGCATTACTATTGCTGAGATATACATCAAAAAGCGGCGTAAAACTATACTTACTCGCTTACTCGTAACTTATAGGGACTGGCTATTTGATATGCTGGGGTTGAGGACCTGAGATGTTGTATCGAGATAAGACATTGCTACAGCTACACAACCAGTGACTGGACTGGTTGTCTTTATAGATTCGCTTCACAAGAATTTATATGATCTATAAGAATTTCGTTCAGTGTGAAAATATATAAGTGTGTTAATTTAGGCAGCAAGTTCTGAATGTTTGTGAACAGCGACTATTCGTCGACATGTCCTGCGCATGTGCCGAATTAACCTGTCACGTGTAACGTGTTCGTCTGGCCGAAAATCTGAAGCTTGGTGGTGTTCATACACCGAAGTCGTTCGTTAGCCAACATGGATCAAATTGACTTATAAGATGTTCTATCGAGTGAGTAGACACTCGCTCAAGCTCGTTGTTGTAATATACTGTTCTTCAGTGGTCTACCTAGTACGTACTCGATTAACACCCGGAAAATGAACTATGACAAAGTCAGGTACCATGGACCAGCTTTCAGCTGTTTTTATGCCTCAAATTCATGTTCTAAAATGAAATAAAGGTAGGCTGGTAATCCAACCAAGCCAAAATATCTCTGTCGAAGTATACTTAGTGAAAACGTATTTATCGCCACTTGTCAGAAAATTTTGCTCAAAATGTACTGTCAATAATCTTAAATTCTTTCGGTTTGTCGTGTCAAAAGATCCGGGTTACAATTGGTCTTCAGCAAGTCTTATTTGTCGTTAGAGGCCACTGACATCATCGGGTGTTCAGGCTCGCTGACTTCGTTGATGCATGGCATCGTATCCCATTTGAATAGATCATCGATTAGCCCTAATGCTGTAAATCATTGGATTTTCTAGTCCAGACTCGATTAATTACAGACAACCGTCATATAGGTACAATATTAAGATGTGGCGTAGGCCTATTTATGTACAATCAACAAAAACAAAAAATTCTCAAAATGCATTTTTGTCTCTGTAATAAACAAAATATCTGAAATTGCCAGTCTGAGCAAGGAAGTCGAACTTTGGCATATATGGTTTTCAAATTCATCTTATGATGACATATTATTTCATTTCTTAAGAATTTTACTGTGTTTCTGTGTGGAAAAATCAGAAAAAGTGTGTGGCATAGTAAAACATTTTCAGTAGGGTTTGATGTACAGAGGTGAAACTTCTGTGTTAAAATAATTTAACTGTTGTGTATTGCAATAATGTTCAACAATAGTACTTTCATACTCGCAAATTCAGAAATATTGTGGAGAGTTAGTAATTTGTTAATATTTTTGTCCTCAGTATTTACATAGAAAGTATTTGAATAGCAATTAATACTGCCATAAACTATCTGTATTGACATTGTAAACTGTTGACTATGTATCCAGGTGAGCTACAGTGCCGTGATTAATATTTCTTTTGTTGGTTACAAATCAGTAAAAGTAATTTTGATAAGAGATGGACTAGGGCACAGTCACCATGGCTGATCTGACTCAAATTATATCAATATAGATTGTCTGGTTCAGACAGACAGGCGGCCATCATAGAGCTTAAATATTACTGAGTGCAGCGTTATAAAACAACAAACAGTATCATGATTGTGACAGACCATTTTGTGGAAGGTCACCAGTATTGATGTACATATTTGGTAATTACTTTGAGGTGAAGATAGAATATGATAGTGTATTTATTCACCCTTTCCTCTAAACAGTATCAGTCATGTTTTCTTAAATATCTTTTAGGTATTTTTTGATGCAATAAAATTAACCTAATTTAAATTACTATTCAAAATCATATCATAGGCCACAATATGTATGAAGCTGTGAGAATCTTAAACCTTAGATATATCATGTGAATACACCATACTTCTAGTGGTGGGGGGAGGGGTGTCATTGATTGGAAAAAGTGTTGATATAACGACACAAACCTATTAAGATATATCAAGATATTATTACATGTAGTTTTAAAGATCATTATTCTGTTCTGTATGTGTATAGATAAACTGGGATGATTTTGGAATGACTAAAATTGAATTTCTGCCTTCTCATTGTCCATTTGAACCATTGTAATCATTTCTGTGGCAGTGAATCATTAATTTAATATCAATATTCACAAATTTGTATCAATACATCAGTCCACTCCAGAACAGAACAGAACAGAAGTGCAACTTCATCCCAGTCTGTTTCAACTGATGTGTCAACTGCTGGACACACTGAACATCGACATGTGCACTAGAGGATAATGACATTGACATGTGCACTAGAGGATAATGACATTGACATGTGCACTAGAGGATAATGACATTGACATTTGCACTAGAGGATAATGACATCATCATGTGCACTAGAGGATAATGACATCGACATGTGCACTAGAGGATAATGACATCGACATGTGCACTAGAGGATAATGACATTGACATGTGCACTAGAGGATAATGACATTGACATGTGCACTGGAGGATAATGACATTGACATGTGCACTAGAGGATAATGACATCAACGTGTGCACTAGAGGATAATGACATCGACATGTGCACTAGAGGATAATGACATCAACATATGCACTAGAGTATAATGACATCGTCATGTGCACTAGAGGATAATGACATCGACATGTGCACTAGAGGATAATGACAACGACATGTGCATTAGAGGATAATGACAACGACATGTGCACTAGAGGATAATGACATCGACATGTGCACTAGAGGATAATGACATCGACATGTGCACTAGAGTATAATGACATCGACAAGTGCACTAGAGGATAATGACGACATGTGCACTAGAGGATAATGACATCGACATGTGCACTAGAGGATAATGACATCGACATGTGCACTAGAGGATAATGACATCGACATGTGCACTAGAGGATAATGACATCGACATGTGCACTAGAGGATAGTGACAACGACATGTGCACTAGAGGATAATGACATCGACATGTGCACTAGAGGATAATGACATCGACATGTGCACTAGAGTATAATGACATCGACATGTGCACTAGAGTATAAAGACCGCCTCCGTGGTCTTGTGGTAGAGCGTCCGCCCGGAGAGCGGAAGGTCCAGGGTTCGATCCCGGGCCGCGTCATACAAAAGACGTTAAAAGATTGTACTTGTTGTTACCCTGTCTGGCGCTCGGCATTAAGGGGCTAAAACAAGGACTGGTCGGCTCGGAGTCAGTATACTGTGTCTGAGTGGGGTATCCATGTTAAACTGCGGCATGGTATCTCAGGGAGCTAGCACTATAAATTAGCATCAGTCCGGACTAGTACAAGCAGCCACACACACACATACACATGCATGTACGTTGCTATATAAGTGCAATAATCTTGGACGCGACGTTAAACCCAATTTCACCTCACTAGAGTATAATGACAACGACATGTGCACTAGAGGATAATGACATCGACATGTGCACTAAAGTATAATGACATCGACGTGCACTAGAGTATAATGACATCGACGTGCACTAGAGTATAATGACAACGACATGTGCACTAGAGGATAATGACCACCAGCTTTCAGTCTTTGTCTCCAATCGTAGATCCACTGGCAGGGGATATTCTAGCTCTATGAACGTGGTCTGTAAATAAGTCAAATCTGGACCAGATAATCCATTGATTGACATCATACGACATAAGCATCAATCTATGCAATAGGGATATGATGACATGCATCATTCAAGTCACTGAGCTCAAAGACGTATTTGCCGAGCCTGACCACTTGAACCTGTTAGTTGCCACTTATGAATAGCATGGGTGGCTGAAGACCTATTCCAACAGGGATTTTCATGGGTTGTCGGCCTTACTGAACATGAAAGTTTTACCATGTAATATTATGAAATTTTATTCGTAGCAAGTATGTGGCATGCTGGAAATAACATACTGTTACATACTTTGTGTGCCTCATTTCTTGTTTGATGTACCAGTTTTTCTGGTGCCTGCATTTTCTCTGCTGTGATGGTAATGTCTCTCAAATTTGCTCACTTAAGTCTGATCTGACTGTGGCAGTTATATTGAAATTATTTTCGTCCATTGCAGTCCTTTGAAATCAACCTCACCATTTGATAAAATGTTAAATTTAGCTGTGTACTGTGATATTTGTCATAACTTTGACTTCTGCTTTGGCTGCCAATAGAGCCATGATGTTATTTTGTCCATTTAATGAACATGCTGCCAGAATGTCTGCTTATGACCTTATATTTTTCTGGAATATTATATAAGAGAGTTTGATTTTTCATTCATATCATCCTTGATGATCCAGTGTACTTTCCCCTTATCAGGGATGAGAATGAATATTTTCCTTTTCAGCTGAAACTTCTTTGCAATGGAGCGTGGTCCATAATTTGGGGGTGTTTATTGGGGTAGCCATCAGATTTTAACAAATGTGTGGTCACTAAAATTCGCGGATCTGTGGAAGATTCTCCCCCCTGCCTCATGTAACATGTAAATCTGAGAGCATCATTCCAGCTGTTGGAGATGGCAGCGTCTTCAGTGTCATCAAGGATACCTTGGTCCTTGGTAGTCCACTTTCTTGAGAGCAGTGTGTGCTGCCCAATCTACCAGAGAGTGAGTGAGTTTGGTTTTACGCCACTCTTAGCAATATTCCAGCAATATCACGGCGGGGGACACCAGAAATGGGCTTCACACATTGTACCCATGTCAGGAATGAACCTTGGTCTTCGGCGTGACAAGCGAACGCTTTAACCTCTAGGCTACCTGACCGCCCTCCAATCTACCAGAGGTTTTGGTATGTGCGTGATGTTTCTTTCATCCATGGCCGATGGGCTACATTCAGTCCTTCCCAAAAGTCAAAAGAAAACCCAGTTTCATGTTTAGGTCATGATTAATGGAATTCTCACTTGCATCTGTTTAGCCATGAAACTGAGTTCTGTGATTGCATTTATGGCCTTTGTGACAAGGCAAAACCACTAAGAAAAACAAGATAGTACTAAGTGTTTATTCATGTGTCATGTTTGGCTTACAACAAACTGAGCAAAGTGTCTAGTCAGCAAAATAATGAAATCCAGGGCAAGATGTGCAAAACCTGAATGAAGCCTCAAACTATAAATATATTTAAGAATAGACATCTCGGAAATTGTACTAAAGTAACTAAATCATAACCCTGTCATTCACCCAGAGATCACACAAGATGGAGATATGAATGGAAAGCAAATTCTATGTGATGATTAATATCTAATTAAATGAAATGAATAGCATGATCAATAAAATGATTAAGTTTTTATGCCTCTATCATATCACAATTAGCAGTATGCAAATTTGGTTTCAGTCGAGTAAACTTACTAAAGTCCATATGTTAAAACTATGGAAAAATCTTTGACTTGAAGAGTTTTGACACAGACTTATTATTAGAAACAGAAAAACAGCTCACTAGGATGTAATCAGCTTTGCTATTAATGCGGTTATTTCAACACGTCACCGGTAGTGCATCCATAAATACACACAACACGCAAACACACATCCTGATCAAATAACTGAGGGCCCTATCCCCACAACCGTATTTCCGCTATGGCACCTTACATATAACGCTCTGGGGTGGGGACTTTGGCTACAGTTGGTAGTACCATTAACCTTTACATGTTGGACCCATGGAATTGAAAACCATATCTCAAATAATAATTCTCATCCTCACTTAACAACAAATAAAAAAGTATCTTGGCCTGCATTGGCATGGATACTGCTTTGGGGAACTATATTCGAGTGTAGGTATACAAAAATAGACTTTGCAGCAATAAGCCATACACCGGTGCATGATAGCTTTCACCTGGAGAAAAGATATGGTGATATATGCTTAGGAGGGAAAAACACCAATAAATATACTTGTACATATTGGAAGTTAAATTGTTCCAGCCAGCTCTCCTACAGAAATGATTATTTACAACACAGACAATTTTTTCATTAAGGATAAATGCTACATACATATATATTTCAGATCATTTGGATGGGAATTTGATCTGTGGGGTGAAAGTTGGAACTGTTTTCCAAATGACTACTATTTATAATTTCCTCATTGTCTGCATGTATAATATACACCCTCTCTACACAGCTGTTTATTTCCTTGGCAGAGGGAAGGAGTGTACTTTATGTACTTGAAATAAACAAAACAGTACAGACTATTCTATAACATCAAAAATATAAAAAAATCATTTTCTCACAAAGAACACAACATATTTATGTGGGAACAAAACCCAAAATCAAGTATCCGATTCACATGCACAGTTCATACAAAAATGAAGTCAATCCTAAATAATACTGCAGTGATCAATCTTTGTTAAATCAATATTTTCCCTTAATTCTTTGAAATATTTACACCCAACCAGAAACACAGTAATAACTGCGACATACACTGGACATCTTAAAGTATACTGTCAAAAATAGTTCTTTTCATCCTGTCCATTGTTTGAAAAGGCAACAGTGGACAATAGTTTCCGACATCTATTTCCAATGGGATGGTAGGAAACAAGTACACCACTTTGGGGAAAAATATCTCATCAACATAACAATCTTCAATTTCAGCTTTCATAAATAAGAAACAATCCTCTTTATGAACATGTTTGTATATTATTGAAGTATGGGCTGTTTCAATTTCAGACGGGAGACAAATGGCATGTTGATCGTAGAGGCAGAAGCTAGTCTAGGGGCTGTGGAAGGCGTTGTAGGTCGAGTACCAGAGTTCTCCAGAATGCTTCAGGGTTCTGCGAGAAAAGAAGACATCTGTAGGGAGTGTTCAGATACTGCACATTATGAAATTGATGTGAAAAATGTTTACAATCCTTACATTTATAGTGACACATTTGTATCTGGAAACAGCCACATCAGGGAGCGCAAATGCAATTCATCTCTAGAGTACAATACATGTATATGTGTGTTTCATCTATAAATATAGAATTTTGCAATTGTTTTATTACTTCACAGTCCCAAACGTTGAAAAAGTTATTCCTTTCAAGAAATTCTATGGAGCTTGGAGGCTGTATTATCAACTTTTCAAAAATCAGGAGCAGCTTTCACTTTAGTGTAAGAGACCATGTACTTTCCTGCACTGCAATAGTTTATACAGCATACTTGTATTACAAGACTGAATGTTTGAGGGAGAAGTATGTTATTTTCTGTAAAAACTCGAAGATGTAAGGATAAGTTGTGAAATATTCTTTTCATGTAAAGGGCTTTCTGCTACCCTGGGTGAATCCTGTTTTATCATCCAAAACTGGCTACATTGTAGATATCACTGCAATGAAATTGCATCACAATGCTTTGCAGACCATTGTGACATCATTGGTTACCAAGCCTCAGTTTTTCCACTTTTATCAACGAGTGTTGATATATTTGATATCAAAACACAGGGGTGAGATTCTCTATTTGTGTAGCACATACTTCTTTTAGAAAACATGTTCACTTACCGGACTATATCAGCAAAGGCTGTACCCAGAGGCTTGATTTTATATGAGATGTTGTGTTTCTCACACACTGATCTGACCAGAGCAGACATCTTGTGCAGGTTGTGTCGGGGCATGGTTGGAAACAGGCTGCAAGGAAATAAATGCAAATCTATTGCATAACAAACTGGATTTCTTTCAGAATTGGCTTTCCTTGCTTATTACAGAGAATACATAGTGTATGTAGTCACTTCAGGCAATTTTATGACCTCTACACAAAAATAATGATCCAATTTGATGCAAAGGGAGGTAACTCACTGGTGCTCAATTTGGAAGTTGAGATGGCCTGTGAACCAGTCATTGAAGAAGGACTGTTCCACATTACATGTTGCATGCAGCTGCAGGGCCAGCCAGGGTTTGGCGCTGTCCTCCTCGATGTCCATGGGGATGTGGTTAGACTGCGACACCCAGGTGAACCAGTGGGATTCCAGGCACCTGCAGTCAAAAAAGCATGTGTCATTCATGTTATACTACAGCACTAGCTGTATGTACCAACCTCAAGATGAAGTAGTAGATCCCAGTCCCTGCATATACCTACCTCAAGATGAAGTAGTAGATCCCAGTCCCTGCATATACCTACCTCAAGATGAAGTAGTAGATGACAGTCCCTGCATATACCTACCTCAAGATGAAGAAGTAGATGACAGTCCCTGCATATACCTACCTCAAGATAAAGTAGTAGATCCCAGTCCCTGCATATACCTACCTCAAGATAAAGTAGTAGACGACGGTACTATTGAGTCCCTGCATATACCTACCTCAAGATGAAGTAGTAGATGATGGTACTCCCAAGTCCCAGCATGGGGATGTAGAGGTAGAAGAACTTGACAAAGAACAGGCTCACAGACAGGAGATCCTAAGAACGATATATATTTCAAGACATTACCATGAAACCAGGGATATTTCTAACCCATAACTTTTATTGCAGGAGAATTCATTCCTATTTGAAATAATGCACGGACTATACAGATAGTGAATGTGACACTCATAGCTGGATTGATGAATGCGGTGTTTCACCAATCAGCAATATTCCAGATATTTCAAAGTCGTTGGCCCACAACTCGTCCACACTAATTAAAACTGCTCTCCAACGTCCTCAACCTTAGGGTTGGATCCACATAGCAATGTGCCAACTTGCACGTTACTTACCCACCAAGCCCTCCTGGTGAATATGTGTCTGAAGAGCATGTACTGGAAGTAGACTGGGAACAGGAGGGGTGGTCCGACTGAAACGACAAGCATTCATACATTACCTGAAAAGCAAAGACAATTGGGGACCCAGGTCAATCTGGGAGCAAAGCCCAAAGGATGTATATCGTTGACGTTTATTTACCTCATGTATGGTGCTAAAATACCCAAGACCACAATAAGGTCATATTTGGGATTAAAGCCCTTCATCAGTGGACTTGGTAGTGCCATAGACCAGTTGGCAACCCATTAAATATATATACTTATATAGCACCCAATATCCAACTTTTAGCTGTTCAGAGGCGCTTGCATGTATGTACAGTTATGATAAAATATAGACGTCCAATCTTCAGTCTCGGATCTGTCATTGAGATTGTGGTTAGCATACACTTCATCGTTTTCAGTTTGCCATCTCCTGTTCTATCACTTTTCACATGGGGAAAGAGCATTAATGAGAAAATGTACATTCTGCTATGGACATATTTAGAATTAATTGTCTTGGGTAACCTCCGCCTGACACAAGTGACATTCACGATCAGAATATGGATTACTTGTTTTGCATCTTGTCCTCATCATACCATTCCGAGTTTGAAAGTAACAGCTGGACACTACTTACTGAGGAAGAAATATCTGTGTTGCCAGTTGTACGGCATGCTCTTCTTTCTCTCTTTAGCAATCTGCAAACATTCAAACACAGAATAATTTCATTAAATACAAAAATTTTTTTCTTGATATATACTACTCCGCGATTAAAAATATTCCTGATGCACAATTCTCAGAACATGTCAAGTGTATACCGGTATTTAATGACATATCTGATTATTCCTATCAAAAGTTGAGTAGTATATTTAGCAATATAAACAGATCTAAAACAAAAGGTGAGACTTTGTTCTTTGAAAAGTTCTCTTGTAAAGCTGGTCTTGTTAATATACTCCTAAAAAAGAAGTTAAAGAACACCCTTTTTTTAATCTTAATATGACTACCGTATTCAACGTAATAAGCGCCCGCTCTAATAAGCGCCCACGGCGATATTTGCTAATATATTGGCAAGTGAACAATCCCAATTAGCATCCCTTCCCATTGATCAATGTACACAAGACTTATTTATTCGTGTATAATACGCACTCGTGTGTTATATGCACCAAACTAATAAGAACCCCCTATTTCTAATTTTGAGAGCGCCCTGGGCGCTTATTACGTCGAATACGGTATATGGTATGCCATATGAAAAAGTTGGTGATCTTTAACTTCTTTTGAGTAGTATACATACAGTACATACCATACATAATAATCAATTTTTGCCAAAGAGAAAACCAAACTGAATGTTCAGCTTCAGGGCAAGTTAAGGTCTAACAGATGTAGGGAGCTTATACCTGGACTGGCATGACCTTGCCCACAACAAACAGTTCCTCCACCCTCACATCCGGGTCCTTGTTCATCTGGAAATACAGCACAGTTACAGCTTACCAGAGCGTACATAGAGTTATGTTACATAGATATACACATACGGAACACGCAGCAGCTGCCAAAACTTAAGCGTGTGTTTGAGCTTGAATTGAGGAATGCAAAGTAAGGGTTGGTTGGTTTGTTGTTTAACGCTGCACTCAGCAATATTCCAACTATATGACGGCGGTCTGTAAATAATCAAGCCTGGACCAGACAATCCAGTGGTTGACATCATGAGCATCGAACCACACAATTGGGATCCCGCAAGTCGCCTCTTACAACAAGCATAATCGCCTTTTACGGCAAGCATGGGTTGCTGAAGACCTATTCTACCCCTCATCTTCACGGGTCGTAAAGTAAGGGGATGGATTAATTTGCCATATTATCCAGTAGTGATTGAATGTTGTCATCAATTCCAGACAAACCAACCAGTGACTAAAAGCATGAGCATAGATCGAAATACGATGACGAACTAAGGCAAGTTGAACATTGCAACATCACGATTCTTGTACATCAGCAAGAGACGGGGTAGAATAGGTATTCAGCAACCCATGCTAGCTGTAAAAGGCGGCCATGCTTGTCGTAAGAGGCAACTAATGGGATCGGGTGGTCAGGTTCGCTGACTTGGTTGATGCATGTCACTGTATCCCAATTGCATAGATCGTTGCTCATGATGTCAATCAATAGATTGTCTGGTCCAGACTCGATCATTTACAGCCCGATGTCATATAGCTGGAATATTGCTCAGTGTGGCGTTAAACAATAAACAAACAAAAAACAAAAATCATACATCAGCAGGGTGAAGACAAGCCATCAACAATTGATGGGCTTGGGGCTGCTAATGCATGGGTACTCACCACGTTCGGCTTGGCATGGTGCTGGTAATGCATGTGGTTCCACCACTGGGGGGATGCACCCTGCAGAGGAATATCCATCATTATCAAGTATCCAGCATCTACCCGTACATATCTTACAGTGTACACTCACGTGTAGGCATCGGTAAACAACTGCTATTATGAACCTATTTATACCAGAAAAGAAAGGTCTAGATATAATCAAACTGTACTAGCATTCAAGAATGTGTTGATTTAGATATGTGAGATAATACTACTAAGAATACCCTGAAGTACTCTGTAACCATGGTCAAGTTGGTAACTCAGAAATTACATGTGAGCAAGAAAATTGTTTATATGATTGCCAAAGTTCCCTCTCATAATTACTTTGTTAGTCCTATTTATACATATGAGAGATATTCAGCTTTACATCTAACCCAAATAGACTGTGTAGACCATACCACCATTTGGTAGATAGCCAATGTCCTAGGAGACATACAGAATTGGCACTTGTTGGAATGGCAATTTTGTATTTATAGTCTGTAAAAAGAGTTATAAAACATCCTGCTTCAGACTGTCCTTTTGTTCTAAGGATGCCAATATCTGTAACAATTTCATGCCCAATAGAGCACTAGAATGATCAGGTAGAATTTTGATTTCAAGGTTCATATTAACAGTTTCTTCACCAAACTACTGAATTATTTAATTAAATACAAAACAATTCTTGTAACAGATATTATAAAATATAAGATAACAGAAGACCAACAACCATTACATTAAACTGTTTCAACAATGGTTATATTTTGTGTAAGAAGGTTGTTTTACAAGACCTTTCTTTTCTTCCAAATATTTAAAAGAATACTTGAGGAGTGTGGTGTGGTTTCACAGAACAGCAATATGACTGTAACATGCAATGAAATCCCAGTATCATGAACCTTAATACACTTACTAACATCACAAACATCCCTGGCTGCATTCATGGCCCAAATAGAATATGCACTGTTATATTTACTCTTCTAATTACATGTAATCCAAAAATAACATTGATTAAAAGAGAATACATCATTGTACCCACCAAATTCAGATCCAAACAAAACTCGATATGTTTGAATAGAGTCATTTCCAAACAAACCAAATTTTTATGAAATAGCATAACCTAACTTTGAAAAAAACATATAAACATCTATTCTTTTTCAAGGTTTCGCTCACTTGGTTAAAAATCAGCAAAACAAAGAATTTACTTTATGACTATGCTTTTACATGACACATCTGCATATAAATCTTATATCAGATGTATGGGATTAAAAAATATCATTACTCATAACAAAATCAAGCTATCTGATTGGCCCAATGCAGTCCTTTTGCAAATTGGTCAGTTGCCTGTATGGTCAACATCTCCTTGTCAAGTAAGTGGCCCTGTTCACATTTTCAGTTACCAAACTGAACACACTGGCAGTCGTAAGGCAGATCTGATATTGTCAAAGATATTTCCCCAAAAATAAGTCTCTGTACTTCTGAACATGTCATAATAATTTCGTAACGTGTAAGACTATGAAAGTATTCTGTGGTGTCAAAGCCAATTCAGCTCATAAAATCCCATATACCATATATAAAACCCCATATACCATGCTGGTGACACAAGTAATTCATATCAAAATTTGTATTTCCTTACACATACATCACATGCATACAGAGATTCCATTCTCATACAACAGTCTGTCATGCAGACTTTCAAGGAAAGATATGTAAGACTGCAAAAATCATTGTTATTGAAATCTCAGCAGTATCTTAATCGATGGTCCAAACTAATGATTGTTGGGCAGATAGTGTTATCATGGCCTGACTTCCAACATGAGTGGTCATATCTCCTGGTGTGATGTCAGACATGCTGAGTCAGCTGCTGTATCAGGAGACCCCTGCATGAGCACCATGTTGCAGGGAATGATTACCTTCTCAAGAGTGATAATACGTGCAGAATAGAACAGCATTTAGTCACTCATTCAAACTATCCTATCAGTTCTTGATACTCTTAGCCTTGAATCATTTCTTTTAGCCAGGCAATGATAGAAATGAGTTGGTTGGTTTGTTTGTTTGTTTGTTGTTTAACGCCGCACTCAGCAATATTCCAGCTAAATGACGGCGGTCTGTAAATAATCAAGCCTTGACCAGACAATCCAGTGATTGACATCATGAGCATTGATCCACGCAATTGGGATCGATGACATGTATCAACCAAGTCAGCGAGCCTGACCACCCGATCCCGTTAGTCGCCTTTTACGACAAGCATAGTCGCCTTTTACGGCAAGCATGGGTTGCTGAAGACCTATTCTACCCTGGAATGATAGAAATGAGATCTGGGACATGCAAACCATAGCATATGAGTTGTATTGCAGCATGTCAGCTTGATGTTGGAGGAAAGCCCGAAGTAGGCAAACTGCAGGTCTATAGTACAAGTATCACTGGGGCAGTGTGTGACTTCTTGTCTTGAACTAGCTGTCTTTTGAAGCATTGTCGTATATCTGGAGAATTGTTCTACATCCTTCATAAAGGCTACAAGTATTGTTCTACAGTGAGGAATTGTCCAATGTTCTATCAAGATGAAATCATCTATCTATCATGCTTACATCACGCCACTCATGTTGTACAGTACAAATGGTTGGTTGTTATCTTTCCCAGTGATAACCTGCTCATGCTCCAGATAACGTTTGTGTCATTCATACTGTCAACATCCACTACACCTCACATCAATATGTGGAGTACACACGTTCAAGGCTAACTCGCATCACTGTCAGTTCATCATGAGATAGCATACAGGTGAAGCCACTAATGCCACTTTGAGCAGTAACTCAGTTTTATCATATATTGGGTAGGTTTCTCGGCAGGATAAAGCCAACGGGTAATAACGATATCCGTTGGGGCCATATGCGGATAGTTATGCAAATATCAAAGGTCAAGTAGGGACTACTTTCAGCGTTTATAAATAAACATGGCATCCCCCTTGTCATTCGTCAAACGAGTCAAAATTAACCATCGGGAATCTGGAGAAACTACAGGGATAATAGCTATCATTATAGCTCGCTAAATACAACCGGTATGTATCACAGCTGTGGAAAGGAAGTCCTGATGTGATGCTGGCCTTAATGTTTACCACTTTGATGAAATAACAAGGATAACAAACCAAAAATAAAAATCAGGGTAAAGCTGAAATTTGACTGGGCCACCCATGCCCCCTCATGTTATATAAATCCTAGCCACAAGAGGTTTTTGTTTGTTTGTTGTTTATCGCCGCAATCAGCAATATTCCAGCTATATGACGGCGGTCTGTAAATAATCAAGTCTGGACCAGACAATCCAGTGATTGACATCATGAGCATCGATCCACGCAATTGGGATACGATGACATGCATCAACCAAGTCAGCGAGCCTGACCACCCGATCCCATTAGTCGCACTTTACGGCAAGCATAGTCGCCTTTTATGGCAAGCATGGGTTGCTGAAGACCTATTCTACCCCGGATCTTCACGGGTCCCACAAGATGTACAAAACCCTCCCTCACAACACACACAATACAGAAAACAAACATCCTAATAATATAGTTCTGTGAAAGAAACATGAACACTCTGATATCTATATTGTCATTGATGCAGACATAAGATAGAGAATTAATATGTTCATTTACTTGTAAAACCACACCACTCACCTCGATTATGAAAAATTCAGTTAAGACTACACATGCAGTCATGAAATGTCAAACCTTATCATTTCTGAAATTGAACTCTCAAATTGAATTAATATATAATGTATAGAACCAAGGATAAGTAACCATGGTAATGAAAACGTCACCGTAACCATCACCATGCAAAAACAATTTCCAGGAGTCAGGTAGTATCACCATGGTCATTACAGTGGTATAATGTTTGGTAGTGTCATCCACTCCATGACTGTAGTCCACTCAATAAAATAAATTATTAAAAATTAATATGCTGTTTTACACTGCATTTAGCAGTATTTCAGAAATATCACATTTGTAGTCTAGTTAAAATATTGACTGGTAAAATATCCAAGTACTTGGTGCAACAGACATCCTGAAGCTTGTTTTGCATGGCTTGCATGGTTAGAAATCACTTGTAACATGTAATCAGTGAAACACTCAGTATTCAAATCACAATAACTAATTAATGTTAGAATCTACAGAGTCTAATTATCAAGCACCAGGAGAAGCTGTAGCAGGCTATATACGTGTCCAGGCTCATTATCAACAGGGAAATTGTTTCGTCTCTCACTAAGATACTGCAGATGCAGATAAAGGCAGTGTTGTGGGTCCCTTGCAATCGGGGAAGGTGGTAAGTTGAGAGAAAAAGATCTCATGAAACATTCAGTAAAAACACCCTTCTTTGGATGACTGTCAGCCTGCCTGGGCTTTGCCCTCATACTGCTGGTGCATGCTGGATCATTTAGGGAGAACTGTTGCAGAAGGACACAGTGTAATTATTGTGCAACCAGTGTTTACAAGGCCAGCTATGATAAAAGATAATGTAGTCAGTTATATAGCTGTATCATGGCAACCTTTTGCTAATCAGTTCATGAAGCAAACAAACCAGTGGTTGACAGCATGAGCACAGATACACACACACAGGTCAAGTCACAGACGAGAATTGGTCTTACTCATCCCAGTTCATCTCCAACAAGACAAACACCATCATAGCTGCCACTGGAACTCCTTGGATGACTGCTCTGTACCAGACTCCAAACAGCAGTCAGTTTAGAAAATTATTCAACATCTAATTGAAACTTTGTGATGAGTAAATTTAACAATTGAATATATTTACATTTCAACAATATTGTGTGTTTGTTGTTTACTGCTACACAGCAGTATTCCATCAATATGACGGCAGGCTGTAGATAATCCAGTGACTGATATCATAAAACAGTGATGGGTATGATGACACACAATCAACAAAGTCTCCGAGGCTGTCTGGAGTGTTTGTACCAAAACGTTATCAGGTTATTTCAGCTACTGAAAGGCAATTGTCATCTATCCTGTATCAGTTTACAATAACCAAAACTTTTGCAATTAATCACTT